AGCACCCTCCTCTATATAGAAATGTCACTAGTTACAACTAGCCTCTGTAATGGGTCACAATCATATATATTTCGATTTAAAGCTTTCGTGACTGCAGGGATTCATCTTCTTGGTTCTTTCGGTAAAAAGAACCAAGAACAATCATATATATCTAAAGCGATAGATGAATACCAATAATGGGTAAACCAAGACTAAGTATAATTAGACCGGGGTGGATCACTTGAGATAGCACTGGATCATAATTGTAAGGGTTCGGACCCCGTTTTGTGGCAATTCGTTTCGTGCAGTTTCTGGGTTTGACAATGCGAGGGCCATCTGATGCTGCCGCTGCTGCTGCTGCACCAATGAGTGGGCAATCAGCAATGGCTGCTGTGGGACACTGGGCCCTGTCAGCATAACATGAAAATCATACCACTGCCTCAGGACCAAAAACAGATCAAAGCTTGTACATGGGAAAACTAATTAAATAATACAAACTAAGCAGGAATAGGCCTACTGCATAAACCTATGGATATTTTTTTACATACGAAGTTGACAGATGGGTTGGAGCGGTGGTTCCTAGTGGCTAGTGGGTTGTGTGAATAAGATGCCTACCCGAGTTCTCTTCCTGGCCACGGCTAACATGAATGGGGAGCGATATCTGAATTGGCCCTGGGCTCCTCCAGCGTCACCCCCCACCCCTACGCTGCCCCTCATCAGGCAGCATGGTTAAACACATCCCATGACTGACATGGCATAGAGAGGCTTTCATCCAGCAGTGGACTGGCAAAGGGCTTTAAAAAAAGTAAAAAATATGACCTCTGTAAAACTGGGTGAAGGCCCATTGAGACTAAGTCTCTTTCTCAAGGAAGATCTGGAACACAAATGTACTTAAATAATCGATTACATATGTACATCATGAATAATAAAGAACAGTAAGAAACATAAATATACTGTATTTTTGGTCAATAACTACGTCCAACTAGCGCGGGATAATTAACAAAAAAAGCGTCACCGTTTAGGATGACGAGCCATCCTCAGAAGTGAGGAAGCAGTGGATGCTGGATGTTATTCATACTCATTACACAAATAATTTCCATATTTATTGGGTTCTGTTTGCACAAACCCTCTAACTGTAGGTTAATGGTGCATTTTACACCAATAGTCAGACAGCCAAGATGACAATTCAATTCAGAGCCGGTCAAACCTGGGCTGGAGTCGACATTTTTGATGATTGTGTTCCACGAGTGGAGGGGGAGGGGAGGGTTGTAAATACAATATATTTTGATCTCGCAAGTGTTGTAAATGTGACACTGAACCACTCGATAACCCAGATTCTGACACAAAAATAAAGCCATTAGACAGAAATGCTATTATATTGGCAATGAGACACGCACGTGGGCAATACAGCAGCGACAACAATAACTGTGAATTCCCCCATGGGAAATGTGTCGGACATCCTAAATGTTCAGTGAATGAGCTGTTTGTTAAAAAGGAAAACACATCTAATACATACACACACGTATGACTGAGCCAATTGTTTACTTTCCAATTGCGTTCTAGAAAGTTCAAAAAGATTAAATTTGGCTTTCCCACTATTCTGAATTTCCCTGCCCAAGTCCAGTCTCTAGACGTGTGGTTATTAACCTTTACTGCAGCCTTGCCCCTTTGGTTCTCAATTGTTAACACATGTATAATGTTAATAATTACATGGGTTTGATGAAAGAAAGTAGTTGTACTTACGTGCCCGTTCTTAATTTGTTTCGATGATTAACCGTCTAAAAAATATATAGCATGTCTCGCACCCCCAGAAAGGGCATCTCGCACTCCCAGGGCGTGGGTTCACCCCAGGTTAAAGAACCACTGCTCTAGACCTTCCTGTTTTCTTGTGCCTATCACCGACCAACTCTTGCTCCCCCCAAATTAAATAAGCCCACAGTTTCCAAAGACCACCTTGAGATGCGTATGCATTTAGCTGCCATACATATCCAAAGTGTCGTGCACTATTGTCTTTAACATTTATTGGTTCATATAAATACTGTATTCAATTCGGCGCCCTTCATCTCAGCAGGTCAGTGCCGGCAGAGATGTATTTATTTGGTTTTCACCACGTGAGCAATTATTCAAATTCACAGGCTGGGCAGTGACACATCCTAATAGCACGCTGACAGTTCTTTAGAGTAAATAGTATTTATTTAACATGACTCCCAATCTGTTTCAGCCCCCTATGACCAAATCACTCAGAATGCACCTAGTCGCATAAAGAGTTTAAAAGTTCCGCAGATCTGAGCCTGGGCAGTGCTTGTATGAGTGACCACCATCACCATGCACACACAGTTTGTTATAGGGCGGTGTGGTAGTCAATACGAGGGCAGTGCACTAGAATACATCGTTGTGCCGTACTTCTACACTCCCAAATGGATGTTCTCCACCTTCACCAACTGACACGGACCATAATGGTTAAATACAGTCAAATAACACCACCCGCACGATGTCAGGAAGCTCTCATCCAGCAGTGGATTGACAATGCATTCATATGTACATGAGAACTATGTTGGGGAGCATCTGCGGAGTAACGCGGCACCGAAGCAGGTATTTGGAAGCGGCCTTTTCTCACGGATATAACCTCCTCCAAAAATAGAGCCAGAATTCCAACATCGAGATGGGACACACGTTTACACGTGTATCTGCAGCACACGTTAATACGATAATACATTCGGAGCACAAGTTTAAATCGCTGGAAAATGCATTTGCCTGCAAGTTATTTAGGCAGTTCAGATCCTTGAACACAATGTACAACACAATGTGGAGTCATATAGTGGGGTCTAAACGTGAACACATCACAATATGCTGCACAGAAAACGTGGACGTTTATTTTGCGCTGAGGAGTCGGTCACAGGCTGACATGTCTCAATAAACCTGCATTTGAACAGGAGCAGAAAATTGACAGCACGGACGGCAGAAGGAAGGGAGTATTGATTGCATTTTTCGCTATTGATTTATTTTAAATGATAGAAAACTATTGATATGACGTATGGCTACTATTGCGACTCAAAGAAGAGACAACTGCATGTGTTTTTGTTATTATACATTGGGGCTCAACAGCAATATATGCCCAAAGATGCAAAATTGCCGAGGGCTCGGTAAACTTCAGTATTAAATAATCCGTGGTGCCTTTGACCCGAAAAGCAAAACACCAGACGTCTGTAAACCATTACATGTAGACCAATACACAACACGGGCTCACAAAACCTAAGTACAAATCTGTGTGCACGCACATACACACGCGTGAACATGCCACACACGCGTTCAGAATCCATGCCAAACACAATGCTGATGATGATGATGATACGTGTTTGCAAACAACACAGCAAAACTAAGAACACCCACTGGCGCTTACAAAATACGAGTTTGAACAAACATTACTCACGCATGCATGGGCTAAGACTACCGCCTGAATCTCAGTAACGGTCGTCTTGTGCCAATTGAGCAAACGGCACATGTACTCGATTACAATCGTTGTCACCATCATCATGGACAACCTACTGCTAGAGGGGGGCCTCCCACCTACGCCGAGTAGGTCGTGGTGTTTATTTCACCATACTTCCTCACGCTGATCAGTGCGGGGTTTTTTTATATAGGCGGGGAGCATAGAAGTACATGAATAGGAAAACGATGGATTTCTGCCCCAAATGCCCTCTTGCTGATACAAGTTGGCCTGCAGCAACCCAACACATCTGTTTCATCCAAGCGCTATCCAGGCTAGCTAATGCTTAGCTTCTGAGATCTGTAGAGATGACTTGGTCATCATCATTATCACGTCTTTATCACACAACCATTAAAGGGGATGGACAAGGCAACCAGGAACAGCAATATGTAAAAGCGACAGAGGGCGGCCTCGACTATTAATACACACGCGTAAATATTACAAAGGGGGTTCTATAAAAAAAAATATGTTCCGGAAATATCTTATCTCTATATCATCATTATCACGGTTTCCCGGTACTCACTCACCCAGCGAGTCTCGCCACCCACAGTAATGGGTAACAAACGATCATCCGTCAAGGAATTAAAAGTCTAGTGCAGTTTCTGCCGGATAAGACGGTGCGGTTTCTGGAGGATGCACGCCGCGTACTTTTATTATACAAGCATACGTTGGCATAGGAAGAGTTTAGTTCAGAGTTGATGGAGGGGCTGAAGGTGATGATGGAGTGATGGGAGAGTGGTGGTGACAATCCGAAACATTGCTCATACCACGTAACTCTGTGCACACACAAACGCAATGTTTCATCTTCTTGGTTCTTTCGGTAAAGTCACGTAGAAGGGAAGTAATAAAATAATAAAAAATAAAACATAATAAAATAATTCTCACGACGTTTACCGAAAGAACCAAGAAGATGAATCCCTGCAGTCACGAAAGCTTTAAATCGAAATTTAAACGCCATGTTTGTTGAGTGCCAATCCTTAAGAGGAGAGAGCAGCATCGACGTCGTTATAATCATCATCAGCATCAACATCAGCATCAACATCAACATCGCCAGTACTTTCGTCACATCCCAACACAGGCGCGCTGCCTATGCTCCTAACGCAGTTTAAAACATTTTTTATCTTGCTCGGCTAATTATATGCAAATGAAGTGTGGAACTAACTAACAACAGCAATAACAACGAAACGTCAAATATTCCAGAAAGATTGATTTGAAGCTTTCGTGACTGCAGCAATCCATACTCTTTGCTTCTTTCGGTAAGGTCACGTAGGTAGAAGAATAAACAAAAAATATATATGTTTTATTGTTAATTATTAAGAACCAAAGAGTTCCAGAAAGCGACAGAGAGAAAAGGGAGGGAGCAGGCCAGAGAGCCAGAGGCATGCGGCATGGATGGCGAAATGGATGGAGCGAGGCTGCAAAGCATACGTGCAAGTTGTATCATGATAGAGAGTGTGTCCTTGCGTGTGTGTGTACGTGCTAAGCAGTGCAGTAAAGACATGGCCTTTCTCTCTCTCTCTCTGCGAGTCTGTACCTTGCCGATGGCCCTGCGGTAGCGCGTGATGGCCTGTCCGATGAGCGCGTGCACCGTGAGGTCCCCATCCCCGCACGGCACCAGCACCCGGGTCCGTCCAAAACACACGGTCACCTTCATCGCGATGATGATGCTGCTGCTGCTGCAATAGCTCCCAGCGCAGCAGAGGCAACTCTCAAGCCACTAACCCACCCAATGAGCCAACTACCCAGCCAGTCACCCAACTAACCAGCCAGCCAGCGAGCCACAATCACAGCTCAACACAAAAGGCAGAGCCCTGCGTCTTCTCGCTCGCTCGCTCAGCAATCCGGAGCCACCCGCACGGCGTTCATCGCCACGCGGCACTTTGCCGAGTGGCGCGGCTCCCCGTGGCAGAGCAGCCAGCATCTTTCTCCTCCATTGCCAGCGTGCTGTCAGGCTCCTCGCTTTTGCCGCGGCTCCTCTGCCCTTGCCGTGGCGGCTCGGCGCTTGCTTTCCAGGTCTGCCTCTGTCTCCCTCTCCCCGTCTCCGCCCGTGCGTGCGTGCGTCTCTGCGTGCGTCTGCGTCTCTCGGCTTACGGCGCGCCGAGTTCGGGATGGGGCTGGCGAGCGTGAGTGCGCAACAAAGCGCTCTGTCGAGGGGGAAGGGGGAGGAGGTGGCGGAGGGGAGGAGGTTGTGATGGGGGTGGGTGAGAGAGGCGAGGTAAAGGAAGGAGGGTGGATGGAGGGGATGGGGGCGATGGAGGGAGGGGAGAGAGTGAGAGGTGGAGGGGGGTGTTGCCTGGATGGCTGGAGCAGCAACGCTTTGCCCACCCGGTTCGTCTGGCCCGTGCAGCCCCCATTCTCTGCAGTCTGCATGAAAAAAAAGATCCCACCTGCACACTTTTACAGACTTTCGGGGGCATGTCCCGTTACCGAGCACCGATTAAGAAGACCGGCACGGCTCTCACGAGGGAATGGTATATCACCACGCATGGCCCCTTTTGTCTTCTCTGTGCTTAATTTTGCACAACGCACAAGGCAATTGTGTGAGACTGAGACGACCTCGGGGAGGAGGCCCAGAACAAGTTTTGAAATCACTTGCGAACTGATGTTAGCTGTGGTAGGGTTCATCGTCAAATGCCCTTCGTCACAGATTCCCCCTAAGACACACACACCTCTGAAGCTTGCAACCCCACACGCACACACGCATCTTGCACACGCCTGCAATGACGCACACCCATCTGCGGCTTGCACACTCACCCCACTCACACTTGTGCAGCTTCCACACAAACACACACGAACGTACACCTATCTGCAACTTGCACACTCTCTCCCACGCCATGCACTGACACTCGTCTGCAGCTGACGGACTCGCTCACACACGCGTATAAGGGGTATGCTCAAGTGTGTCGCTGTATCAGAATAGGGCGCAACAATATTCAGCCAACCAACCAAACACCCCTCCACTCATTCCTCTCACTTCTCCTCCACCACATCCCCGCCTGCCTACAGGCCATCTTCTCTCCACAAACCCCGCCTCAAACCCTAACCCCTTTCCCCCAACCCCCCACGCCCGCCTTTAATTCGCTGCCTGCATGGACACACACACACCAACCAGGCACACATGGGCTAAGGGGCGCTGTTGTTATATGTCTCACCCAACCGTGACGCTCGCACGGGGCCTTTTGTTTGATGTTAATCAGTAAATCCGTGCTCGCTCTTACACACGCACAGTGGAATGCCGATAGGGACAAGTGCGGCAGAGTAGTGGTGAGTGGTGTGGTGAGTGGCAGCGCTACGAACCCGACACCACGAGTTCGACTCCCGGTCGCAGCTAACATCTGGTGATCATCTGAAATAGTCGTGGGACTCACCTTAAACCAATTATGGACATTTCCCTTGAATTAACATTTGCACATTAGTATATGTGCAAATATCAGAATTGAGGAGACAAACCGCACCATCAGCTCCTCGTGCACCGTACCGCCGTGAATATGCGCTCACTAACAAGGGGGGTGGCTTTTGTCAGTTTGTGTGTGAGTATACACGTGCGTGTGGAAATTTATTTTGAGATAAAGCCAATTTATATAGAGGTTAATTCGGCAGGAGCCGTTTCGTGAATATCGTCGCATCATTATTGATTAAAGCATAACTGAGCAATTGAAAATACAGCATTTTAAAGAGCCGTATTGACTTTATAATAAATAACTTTACTTAATTAAGATACTGTTTTGACTTCAGCGAATACAAAGCAATGCTAATCGTAGTTGAGCAAAGATGTACCGCGTTGGTGATATTCAAATAATATTGTGCATGCGCGGCAGTGTTTTAACACTTGCTCCTGTTTTTTCCAACAGTTATTATATCATCTGGTTCAGGTGCTGGAGTGGATTGTTATACATCGCGGTCCGACGGTTTGGGGAGGCCTTCATCCAGCAGTGGATTAATCATGGCTAATGACGATGATAAGTTATGTGTGCGTGTATGTCCTTAGTGCTTGCGAACAGCTCTGACCCCGTTTTACATCGGTTAAGTGGGGGACGGGGGTATGAGGTTATAAACGCTATACGTATGTGTGTGTGTACGTGAAAACGTGCGCGAGTGTGTGTGAGAGTCTTTATTTTTGTGAGAGTCTTTATTTTTGTGAGAGGGTATATGTTGTGTATGTGTGTTATGTAGGTTTCAGCGCGTGTATGCATGTGCGTGTTTGTGAGTGTGTGCATTATCTGTTTGTGCGCGTTTGTGTGCTGTGTGTATTTAAGTGTGCGTGTGTGTGAGAGCTGATCGATGCCCCGGTGCGGTCAAGGGATGGCTCCCTATTGCTCAACCATGTTATGTATGTCGATGATTTGGTAATTGCTGCTCACTCAGAGGAGGAGTTGGAGGTGCTGATGCTGAACCTGGAGCTTGCCACTAAGAGGTGGGGACTTACCATCAGCCCCACCAAAACTAAGCACCTGCCTGGGTATTTTGTACCATCGGACACTCCACCCCCACAACTCCCAATTGGTGATAGGGCAGTTGTGGAGAGAGTGGAGAGTTTCCCATACCTTGGCAGTGTGCTCATGACCGGCTGCGGTTTAAAAGCAGAAGTCTCACTCCGAATCAGTCAAGCGGAATTATCTTTTTATCGGTTGCGTAATGCTGTGTGGAAGCTACCTGGTCTATCGCTCCACACGAAGCTTCAGGTCTTCTCGGCCATAGCCATTCCCTCCTTTCTCTACGCTTGCGAAACGTTGACCCCCCTATTGCAACATTTTCACCGGTTAGGCTGGCCTGCCTACGATCCATCTTGGGTCTAACCAGGCTGGATTGTGAGGAGCTCACAAATCCTTGAAAGATATGGACAAAGTCCCATTGGTGAGCTCCTCCGCCAGGCAAGGCTGCGTTGGCTGAGTCATGTAGCCCGCATGCCCAGCTACCGCATGCCTAAACAGCTTTTGTTCGGCCGGATCGAGGGAGCTAAACGGGCGCGGCACGGGCTAGAGAAGAGATGGAGTGATGTGGTACAGGAAGATGTGGAGCTGAGTGGACTTGCCGATGACTGGTACCAGCGGTGTCAATATCGACCTCTGTGTAGGAGGCTCGTGAAGGACGCTACTGGACAGTTGGAGGCAGTCGCCCTCAAACAACAATGGAGGGCGGAGGAGCGACGCTCACAACAACGAGCGGAGCGCCGGGTGGCTAAAGCACAGCAAGTTGGCACAGTAGGGGGCACAGGTGGTGCATCAGCTCGTCGTCTCAGTCAGTCGACCTGTGGCATCTGGGTCTGCCTCGTGACCTCCTGCCGGCGGGCGTTCGACACTTCACGTGGCCTCAGGGTGCACATAGCCTGGCACAAGCGTCGTGGTGACGTCACCGCCACTTAGTGGCGAATGGCGGTTGTATATGTCGACTCAGCCTCAAATGAGTACCTGGTGTGATGTGTAAACATCGCCACTAAGGAGACAGGCGACCGGGCGTGGTGTTGGCCACCCACCCCCGCGTGTGCCATGCCGGCCTTCATAGGTGCTCGCTAACAGAACTTGCCCCAACAGTCTGTTAAGGCTATACTGGGGGTCTTTGCCTTTGTTGTATCTCACTAGGAAGACAAAAGCGTCCGGCGTCGTTCTAGCCACCCACCCCCTCGTGTGTGACGTTCCGGCCATCATAGGTGCTCGCTAACAGCACGTGTTCCAACAGTCTTGAGGTTATACGGGTGGTCTTTGTCTTTGTGTTCAAGTATGTGTTTGAATGTGGGTGTGCCTTTGTGTTCGTGCTGTGCATTGAGAGCGCTTTGCCAGCAACTCATGTCTCACCGTTGGCTGTATTGCAATTCAAGTGCCTGCGGCTCAGAGTACAAGAAAGCGAGTGAGCTACAGACGCTGTTAAGCTAACGAGACAGGATGACGAGTCCGTGTGACAATCTGCAACAGACCAGGACATCTCCATTTTGTTTCACTGCCATTCCTTGATTGCTCATTACACCGTGACGTCAGTGCGGCTCATTGTAAACCGGTGCTTCTTAACCTTTACTGCAGCTTTGCAACCCCCTTTGTTTCTCAATCGTTACAGTTTTTACAATGTTAATCAACACATATGTTTGATGAAACAAAGTAGTTGTACTTACATGCCCGTGATTAATTTGTTTTTCGATGATTAACCTTAAAAAAAATCTGGCATGTCTCGCAACCCCCAGAAAGGGCATCTCGCATCCCAAGTTAAGAAGCACCGCTGTAAAGAGTTACATTCATCCGACCGTAGTGGCGATGCGTGCCTTCTGGTCTAGCGCTTTTGGAGCCAGAGGTTGGTGGATCACTTAAACACTTGTGCACAATCCAAAATCATCTGGGGCTGAATGTGAGATGGCTAGGAGACGGCGGTTTAGCAAGTGGGCTCGAGAAAGCCGTCGGCGTTGAGGGAACGACTCTGCCGTAGGGCGGGCGGGCGTTCTCCACAATAAAATATATATATCATTTGAGTAATGGGCCTTTTTCCAGGTATTCCGACGTACTCTCACACGCAACACACACTTTAAATCACGGTCTTTCGGAGAATGTGAACACATGTAAACAAAGACTAAGATGGACAGAAAGTATTGTTGATGTAGCGGGGAGATTAATATGTCATTGCAAAGCTTCAAAACACGAAGAGTGGAGTGGCTTCGCCATCCCTGTCACGAGTACTGCACAGGGTCTATGGGATAGTAACTGTGACCGGTTGGATCGTTGGTTCGGGTTCGGGTGCAGTAGTGGTCTCGAGTGCTCCGCACTCAAACCACTTATTTATTACCCTTTCTTTCCCATTTCCAAGATGTTTTTTTTTATCTTTGCAGTTTTTGTCCGAGATTGGTTTGTAGTCTTCACTGTGCTCTCTCGTCACGGACAGGTGAATTCCTGCTTGGACAGGTGAATTCCTGCCTGTGCAGATTCATTCCTGTCTGTGCAGGTGAATTCCTTGGCTGCCCAGCTGTAAGCCGAGTCGCCACAACCCCAAATAACACCAACACTAATCACCAGCACTAATTGTATTGTATAAATACATCTAATAAAATATAAAAAACAACCCAGTGGAGCCTGCGTAATGGTTTGGCAAATGCAATTTGCGTAATCGATTTCTAAATGTAACCGAATCGCGGGAGATGAGTAAATGGCTAACACACCA